TAATATAAACAATATTTAAGTTACAAGGTGTGTGTGCAGGTAATGTAGATGGGCTAGTGCTGCCCATGTATCAATAATACTCATTAATAACCCAAAAAATGTTTTTTTTACATCATTTCATCATTTTACAGCTAGACATTTCTATGGAATCGCACAACCACGTGCGCACATAATCACCCAGTAGCGCCATCTTGCGGCGTACCTACGCAACAACACGAATATACTCCAAACGTGCGGGGCGAGATCGTTCAACTTAAATTCTGCTCACTCGTGACATTTCGGTGCAAAACTTCCGAATACATGGCGGTGATACAAAAAAAACCCGGTAATTCATCACAGAGATCCAGACCGCAATTTCGCCTTAGCTACGATCCCAACGTTTTGATTTCGCGACTATCACAGATACAGGTATTTTGGGATTACGTCAAACGCGTGAAGGAGTCGCAGTCCCGCTCTACCATCGACAACAAAGCTAAATAAAAGAAGCAGAAAAACAAAATGCTTTGAAAAATCCCCCATAGAGAACTAATAACAACCCGCCTGCTCGCCAAGTCTTCCCTAGATGTGAGACATCAGTAGTATATATATATATATATATATATATATATATATATATATATATAGTGAATCAATCTGTCACGCGTTGATGAACCAACTCTCCTGCTGTGATCGGGTAGTCAGTCTTTAGGTTGCTCTGCTAATTAAATCGCGTTAATTGGAGTGTAATTAGTCTCCGCTGAACGTCGTTGGTCGTGTCAAAGTGTCCGATCCACAGCTGGAGCGTTGATCGTAATGCTTGCAAATTGGCTCGTTGTTAATTTGTTCTTTCCTGTCAATTACGTAATTTTCCATTAATTATTTTCTAAAACGTAGTCACAGTATAGTCTTCTACGCGCTTAACACGTAGCTATTCTAGGTTTAACAGTCACTCAGTTGTTTTCAACGCAGTAGGTCTGCCTTTAGCTGTCTTTGGTGTTTATACAATATGGATATTCCATGCTCAGTAGTTCTCCAAGTTCTCCCATCGTAGTCATTTTACGTTTGGTATTATCTAATATTCTTCCAAACGTAGTCATTTCACATTTTATAATCCCACATGCTGTTCCAATGTAGCTATTCTATGTCTGCTGGTGCATTTTACGTTGAGTCGTCCACACTCTCGTTCCCACGTGGTTAGGCAACGTTTATTGTCCTTTCTTGTATATTTCCTCACGCACCGAGTCTACGTTCATTAGTATCACATGTGGTTTCCCTTGTGATTTATTTCTTCTTTCCTCTTAGGAGCCGAATTCGTTGTCTCGAGAACTTTTCGCAGAATCGCAGCGCTGTAATTAAAAGGTGACAGTATAATAATTGACGAGTAACTATAGTAACAAGGCGAGCGAAGATGCTGGTTAATAGGTTATTAGTGCATCACGTCAAGGCTTCAATGACAAGCTCATTATCGTTGTTACACATCGTTAGAGACAATCTGACCGTCCGTCCGTCCGTCCGTCCGTCCGTCCGTCCGTCCGTCCGTCCGTCCGTCCGTACCGTCCGTCCGTCCGTTGCTATACCGTCCTTTTCGTCCGTCTTTCTTCCCGTCACGCCCGTCCGTCCTTTCGTCCGTCTTTCCTCCCGTCCGCCGTCCGTCCGTCCGTCCGTCCGTCCGTCTGTCCGTCCTTTCGTCCGTCTTTCTTCCCGTCCGCCCGTCCGTCCGTCTGTCCGTCCGTCGGTCCGCCCCTCTATCTGTCTGTCCATCCTTCCGTCCGCCTACCCCTTGTACCTATTCGTGTATTTAAGCGTGTATACGCGCTTTCAAGCGCCATCTAGCGTTATTTCGTGCAGTGATTAATTCATTCGTAGCGTGCCATTTTTCCTGCTCAATTCAAAGCATAGACTCACGGTACAGATGCTTGGCTCCGTTGATGTCGTCTTGATTCAGATTCAGGTATGGATCGTACGACTTCACGAACGCGAACATGATTGCCTCTCGCCTGTCCGAGTGGTTAAGACCTAGCGCGTGTCCGATCTCATGCAACGCCACCTATAGCCAGATAACGTAAACAAAATTAGTAAGACGGCGACAAGGTTAGGAGGGTACATGCACGCGGTTGTGCACTTCAACGTCTCACGGCTAAGAAACATTCGACTATCCTCCCGGAATGATTGACAGATAGCTCTATCCAATCAGCGTTGCGATAGGAGCATTCTAAAAACGCTGCTCAGCAACGAAGTCCCCGCTACGTCGATAACGCAGAAGGCAGAAAGGTTCGATATGATATGACTACTAGGCACTTTAATTAAATTAAATTTTTTTTTTTTTTAGGGTTAGGGTTAGGGTTAGGGTTAGGTTTTTTTTTTTTAAGTGCCTAGTAGTCCCATATCTACAGGCTAGTAGTCATATCATATCGCCCTATCAGCCGCCGGTGCTCGCACTAACTCGGTTTTGCATACGTATTAGACACATGTGTAAGCTAGACAAGCCGAACTAACCCAGCAGCATTATTCAAGGAGGTAGACGTGAAACCTTGCCTTTGAGCTAACACGTGAGATTACGCGTTCCGTTAACATCTCAAAGCTCTAGCTGGTTGGCATGCGACACACGGATAACGTCACCGCCCCCTAGCGGACAGGATCATTGACACCGAGAGCAGATATAGGATGGTGACAGGATATAGTATATAGGATATATAAATATATGAGATATATTGGATATTATAGTATATATAGGATATATAGGAAATATACAGGATATATAGAAATATAGGATAATAGGCATATATAGGATATATAGGAAATATAAGGATATATATATATATATATATACACAGTATATACAGTATATCCTATAATTATACCCTATATATATATATATATATATATATATATATATCAATATATAGGCGTATAATTAATAGGATATTACTGTATTTAGAATATATAAGGATATCTTGGGGAAATAGGAATTATGCGATCTAGGTATCTAGATCCTAAGATTCTAGGATCTCAGACTAAAGATCTAAAGATCTAGGGAGGATCTAGGATCTAGGCTTTAGGATCTAGGATCTAGGATCTAGGATCTAGGATCTAGGATCTAGGATCTAGGATATAGAATCTAGGATATAGGATCTAGGAATTCTAGGATCTGGGATCTAGGATCATATGGCATCTAGAGATCTCAGGAATATAGCATATAGCACTATAGAATGGGAATCTAGCGATCTAGGATGCTAGGATATAGAATCATGCAGATAGTATGCGATCTAGGATCTAGGATCTGGGATCTAGGATATAGGATCTAGGATATAGCATATAGCATATAGCATATGGGATATAGGATATAGGATCTAGGAAATATAGGATATATAGGATAGCGGATAATTGACATGTCGCATGAGTCGCAGCATCGCTACTAGCAGAGTCGCGCTCACCCAATAGAAATCTCGTCCGTGTTCGTTGTCGAGGACCCACGGTTCGTCGTCGTCAAAGTGCACGTGCCGTTCGCGGCAGAAAGGCGTGCGCGACCACGCCGCCCTCGCCGTCAAACCGATTGCCGTCGTCATGGTTACCTAACGACAGGACGAAACGCGTTCATTTAGTGACGTCACAGCGTGAGAAGGGCTGGTGGGGGGGGGCGGGGTTGGAGGTGACAGCTCCACGGTAGTGGTGATTAGTGCTATTATAACGCGTATCGAAAAAAGTTACGGCGAAGACTAATATTGCGATTATAATTTTTTTCGAGAACGGCCCTCCAAGAGTGTAATGACAGAGGATGAGTGAAAGAGGGAGAGGGAGGGATAGAGAAATAGAGAGAAAGAGAGAAAGAGCTGAATAGACAGAGAGAGAAAAAGAAAGAGAGAGAGCGCTGAAGGACAGAGAGAGAGAGAAGAAAGAAAGAAGAGAGAGGCGAGCCCCAGACTGAAGAGAGAGAGAGAGCAAAGAAGAAAGAGAGAAGAGAGAGAGAGAGAGAGAGAGTAAAGAGAAAAGAGAGAGAGAAGAGAGAAGAGCAGAGAGAGAGAGAGCGAGAGAGAGTTTCTTCTTTCACGTATTCCGCTGGTCTTGTGCCACCGCGCGCCAACAATAGCCTATTTTTAGACAGTTGAACTATTTCGCTGTGAAAAACGCCGTTTCTAATTTTTGTATGTGGAATATCAGCACTAGAGAGCATAATTACATGCACGGTACACGTACTGTCAAGAGCTAATACCTTTAAGTAAAAAATATTATTAGGCTCTGAATAATGTAGCAATAGAGATTCTTATATAACGCGAGGAGAGAGAGAGAGAGAGAGAGAGAGAGAGAGAGTGAGAGAGAGAGAGAAAACACTGAGTGAGAGAGGAGTGGGGAAGAGAAACACACAGTGTGCGTGGGTTTTGGGTGTGCGTGTGGGTGTGCGTGTGCGCGTGTGTGTGAGAGCGGAGACAGGGAGAGTGGGAGAGATGCTCGTTTCTATACAACTATAGGCTCCCATGACTGCTCCCCCCCCGCTGCCGCTCTCCGTAAGATGTCAACGACGCCAAACAAGAGACACAATACCACACACTAACGCTACTATACGGCCCGCAAAGTGGTGAACGCGCGAGTTCCTGAAATAGCTGCAAATTGAAAAGCCGCGGGCGACGCAATGAAAACGAAAGTTCGTTCTATATACACATCCCTACCGTAGTTACCTACCGACATGCACGCACAATCGGTGCGGAAATTGCCTCGCGTGCACTATTTTTATTTCAGCTCGCCGTCTTTCCTTCACAACGACTGAATATTGATTAGGCGCACGTTTTTTTGTCTTCTATAGATGAAGCGAGAGAGACGAGCGTATAGAGCGAGCTATACACGTTCACGACTGGAATTTTTGAAACATCTTCGCCGCGGGTATGTGTCGTAGCGGTTTGCGCCTGTCATGTATATTTAGGTCGACGTTTTCATGACGATGACATATATCAACTCTTTCTCTCTCTCTCTCTCTCTCTCTCTCTCTCTCTCTCTCGCTCGCTTTCTCTCTCTCTCTCTCTCTCTCT